AAAGTTTCAAAGCAATTTTTTTTGGAGGGAWACTGGGGATGGAACTCAGGGGCACTTAACCACTGAGCCACATCCCCAGCCCTATTCTGTACTTTATTTTAGAGACAGGGTCTCACTGAGTTGCTAAGCACCATTGCTGAGGCTGGCTTTGAACTCATGATCCTCCTGTCTCAGCCTCCTGAGCTGCTGGGATTATCAGCATGAGCCACTGTGCCTGGCTCAAAACAATATTTTTCCTTTCACCATTCCACTTCCACCAGATGTTTTATAGGATAAACATTTTTTTTTTTAACCTTTAAGATTGGACTGAAAAATAAAAATCCTTACAAAAAACTTTAACCAACAGGTGGAGTCCATGGTCAAGTATCTCCTCAGCTCTGAGTTTAGAAGGCAAGACCAGGCCAGGGTGCCTGGGCTGATAGGGCGTCTGCCTGTGTGTGTGTGTGTGTGTGTATGTGTGTGGGGGCTCTTCCTTCCACCTTTTTCACTCTGAAAACTGTCCTCACACGGCAGAGGTCCTCTTCCCCAAATTCAGATGCTCTGACACTAAGTAAATGGCCAAGAAAATGGAAGGTAGTCTGATTTCATGGAGCAGGCATCTGTCGGACAAGAGAACTAATGGGACGCTGAAGAGACCCTTGTCACTTGGCACCACAGCCAGCTGCAAGGGCTGTCAGTTCTGGCAGGACTTTGTCATGGAACAAAGGTCCCAGAGACCTGAAGTCATTCTCAGTGACAAGGGCAGACCTGGCCACATGTTGCGACACCCTAAAGGCAGGAAGCAAGGTGACGACAACACAGAATCAGAGGCACAAGGACTGTGGTTAGACAGGCCATTCTGAAGAGGTTGATCACACTCAGGTACTGGAGCTGGCCTGGCACATGGATTCCTTGTCTATCCAGCCCCACCCCTGAAAGGTATTTCCAGAATTTAGGTCACTACACTTGGCAGCTTTGCTTCACACACAAATGCTCTGAGGTTAAAGTTTATGAAGTGTGACCTACGTGCCAGTGACTAAGTTCCATGAGCCTCAGCTTCCAAATGTGAATCCTGATTGGCAGCTAGGGCGGGACAGTCACAGCCACTGCCTTGACAGCCAGCATGGGACTGGGGGGGTCGTAGACCCTGAATCTACAAACTGGCTGGCCCACGACCCAGAGCCCCCCGCACCCAGAAAAGAAGCCCCGAGGCYCTTTACAACCTGAGTGGGCTTCATTTTCCAAGTGCTTCATGGACCTCAGCAGTGAGGTTCAGTGGGAGGGGCTGGCTTCAGGCTTTTAAGGCTGTCTCAGGAGTCAGGAAAATCTAAATTAACCTCACCCCACAAAGCAGCAAGGAGGCCTCTGACCCACCTGGTTGTAGATCCCCAAAGTACAAAGGCCTGGTAGATCCCAGGGCAGATATATGAGGGGGCAGGACAGCACTAAGGGGACACTGCTTCCTGCTGTAGGCTGGGGACACCACATGGGCCACATAGGTTTCTTGGTCCTTATTKGAAGTCACCGTGTCCCTGCTTTCAGTTGGTGTTAAACAGGAGGTAAGAAGCTGGCTAAAGGAAACCCTTTCCAGCCCTGCTCACCATGAGGGAGCGTGAAGCCTGCTGTGACCAGAGTGATTGACACTTCTTATGAACTGGGAATGTGTAAGGCGGTTTTGTCATTTTTCTAAATACAGGGACCTTTTAGAAGAACTTCAGCTGTCACACACAAGGACTRTTTCTAGACTGCAAAGTGTGGGGGTGGCCTCAGGCCTCTTCTGCAGATGAGGGAGTMCCACCCAACAGGACTCTTCTGCTTAGAGAACAGGTGATTTTAGAGGGGACTTTTGGGAAGGTGGAGGGGCAGGTGCTGCGCAGGGCTCCCAGCTGTCTCTTTTCAAATTCAGTTACAAAGAGTTCCGATTTTTCCAGGTTGTGGCAGTTTTGCTGTCTTCCTTTCTCAGATGTCTGAAAGCAGGGCTTGTCCAACTAGTAGATTAGAAGGATATGGGGATTTGTTCCCCATACTTTAAAGCAGGGAAAAAAGCCTTGTTGTGAAGAGAAGACAAAACCTGTTTGGTAACTTGTCATTTCAGTGAGAACCTGAACTGCTCACAGGTGAACATTCCCCTCGACTCCGCCCCTTCTTCCCGCCATCCAGCAGCCCTGGCTGGGGACCACGGTGAGGACAAGAGAAACAAGGCTGCTGAATTCATCCAGAGGACACCATTACTGGCTGACAGAAGTTTAAGAACCCAGAGGAGCAGGTCAGAGGCAAAAAAATGTTTATTCCTCTTGCCATGTCACAGTGATAAAATACCAAACAGTGCCTTTGTTGTCAGGTGCCACCAAGAAAACATTAACAAAGCAGTCACACATTTTTTGATAAGAGTAAACTGTTGTCAGATTTATCTGAKTTCTCTCTCTTCCTCTTTAATAAACTGACTTCTTACATCACCACTGAGTCCTCTGAAAGGTTGGATCCTCACCACCAGAGCCATGGGATTTTAAAAAGGGATTTCTCATTTTCTTAAAAATGTCAATGCTAAGGATTCCATAGGCCTATTTATCAACTCYATCAGGGTCCTACAGTGGGAGCTACCCACCAGGAGTTGAGTGGAGACTCCCCAGCAGWCAAGCCCGCTGTGAAGCCTGAAAAGGGGAGGGAGGAAGAAGGCAGCTTAGGCTCTGGGCCCTGGACATGAGCCTCCCACCAGGTGAATCTGCATCAGGTCAAAATGCCTGAAGCAGAGGGCTCTACTGTTAAACACCAGACAACAGTGCTTCAAAATTCCTGAGTGTTAGCATCCCAGAAACCACCTCTCCCCTGGGCCTTTCTTCCTCAACCAGYTTCACAGGAGAACATGAGCTCAGGGAAGGAGAGAAAAAAAGCAAAGATTAAACTTCCTGCCAGTTTTGTGAAGATAAGTATGAACTTTAGGAACCAAATACCAGAGAAGGAGGACGTAAGAACTGGAGCAAATCCCYTTATTCTGGTAACTGCAAGGAAGTACTATTTACAGAAGAGACTCTAGTTTGGGCATCTGTATACATGCTCCTAAAAGCAAAGGCTATTTTTTTTGCTTGATTTTTACGTATCAAGAAAGAATTTCATAAAGTGGAGACTCATTTGCAAGCATTACTTGAAAAGAAACTGGGCACTTTGGATTCATCTTTCCTTTTCATTACAATCTGGCTTTGAAATATGGTCCTTCAAATTACCTTGAACAGGATGGCTTTAAGAATGTCACATCATGTAGCTATGGCAAGGAAACTAACGCCCCTCAGCAAACGAGACTTTTTGTTAATATGATATATATAACACAGGTAGGCCATTAGCAGCTGTCCTTTGAACCTCTTACAAAACTTAGAGCATTAGTCACTAGGGTTCTACAGGCACGAGAAGTAGGTATAGTAACAGTATAATTATGAAAAAATAAAAACATGAATAGAAGGAAAACAATCATTTAAAAGAAAATCATTGGGAATATAGTRTGTAATATTTTAAAAAGTTGCTTATATGTAAGATAAAATTAAATTTATTTTTCAAAAATGTCATTATGCAAACAAATATACTAATATACAGTCAAGTTTACCCTGTTCACAACAAAATCATAGGACAAGATAAAAAGAAAAAAATCCTCGTATTTAAAGGATTTTAAAAACATTAGCTGTGTCAAGACTCTCGGTTACCGAACATCATATGGCATCTCACTTTGTAAAAAGGAAACTCTCACGAATCCTCTAAACAAAGACAACATAAACAGGAGTAAAATTAAAATTAGCACTTTTAAAAGCTCTATGATTAACACATCTATTTAAATCAAGATCAAGAATTTATGAGATTATTTCATCAGGATAAGAGCTGAACAAGATGCTAAATACTGAGGTTCTAAGGAAAAAACCATCATCATTTGTTTAATGTAACTTCCAAGACCAGCGGAATACCAAGAACACACCCTCTGGGCAAGTGTCAAGCATGGGTCTCAGTAATATTCAGCAGGAAAGAAATGGGCTCTGTGAGGGAGCTGGTGGGGACACACCAGGGTGTGACTGTGCAGGCCTGTCTATTTTTAGAGGTTTCAGACTCTGGCCTTAAATAGTCTGGATGATAATGCTYGTGGCTACAACCCGGCGTGGCCTGGGAGAAAAACAGTTCTTTTCAYGCTGCCTAACCTAGTTCCCGGTTTTTTCCCTTTTAAATGCATCCTGAGATGTTGCTCATGGAACATGTTCAATCGGGAAGCTTTCAGAATCTTCTGTTTCCTATTTACTGTGGAGCACTCAAAACTAGAATTGGTTGATAATAAGATTAATATTTTAAAAATGTTCTTTACTAAAATARGAACCATCTTGCTTCTTTGGAAGCAGGAAACATTACCTTAATTGGGAACAGAACAACACACCGTTGAGGAAAAAGTACTTTTAGTTCACCAAAATATCATGGACACGTGTCCCTAGAAGACTTCCATATTAGGAAGTAAGGATTTCTTGTGTCATCCATGGTAATGCTGAGGGGGCTGTGTCTATCAGGAGAAGTGCTGGTCGCTACRTAGCAGGGTTTTCAGTTTATATTTACGGACTAACAAATGTGCATGTATATTCACACAATGCCTATTATATGTCAACATATAGTATGTACACATATACACACAACACAGACTCATACCGTATGTCCCAGGAACACAAAATCACCATCCTTTCCAAAATCTACCTATTTGACTCTCACACCTCAAAATGATAGTGAATCATACTGGGAAAACCAAGTGGACCCAGAAACAAAAATATACCCAGGTGATGTTTMATCTTTCATCCTTTAAAACTAAACAAAGGGGCAAAAAAAGTATATTATGAAACTATGAAAAATTTAACAAGCATTTCTTCTTAATTTTCTTAGAAGAGGAGGTGAAAATCCTGAGGATGAGATCTAAACTGGCTTTTATGTCCTCTTAGGCTAGCTGTGATACTCAGGCCAATTCCCCTCCTCCCAATTTTAAAAACATATGGCATTTACAAATCATGGAAGCCAACAAGACTTAAAAGTTTATTCTCTGAGATCTTAGGAAAAGGAAGGTGAAAAGATATGGGTCCAGGCTCTCGCAGAATTCCCTGCTCCCCTGCGGGACTTCCCAGGCCCAGCGTCTCTGGCTCCCCTCCTCATAGGGCCACAGCTGCTGGGCCCCCAGGTCCTGCTCTTCACATGTGCATTTCAGGCCAACCAGGTCTTGAATTTGCAGGACCATAGGGCCTGTCACTGTTTCATTTCATCCCCTTTTCAGGGAGGGGAATAAACAGGTGTCTTAGCCATCCTGCTGACGGATGAGCAGGGGGCCTTTGGTGCTCCTGGGCTAGTCTCCATCACAAGTTCTCCTTCAGTAGCCCGAGCTTGCGCAGGGCCTCCCGCCGAGCTTCCTCTGTGGAGCCCCGGCCAGAGAACTGCACAGTGATGCCCTGGGGCCTGAACCCCACTGCTCTGGGGAGAGAGCCTGCCCGCTTCCTGGCGTCCTGGCCACAGTCTGGCGGCCGGGGCTCACAGAAGCTCCTGCTGGCATTCTGGCGCGCGAGCTTGCTGGCAAGAGTGGGGTCTGGACGGAAGGTGACAGTCTTTCCAGTAGACACRAAGGGACTGGACTCGCTCCGCAGCACCTCATGGATGCTCTGGAAGCCGTTGGCCAGCACTGGGGGCTGCTCTGTCTGCACACCTCTGGACTGCTGACCACCACTGGCCTGCCCGCCTGCTCGSGGCTCTTCAGCTTCCTTGGCCAGTCCTGGCTTGCTCCAGGAGGGCGTCCCCTGATCTGCAGGGACACTYCTCTTCTCTGTGAGATCACTCTTCGGTGACCGGTCTTCTGTGTCGCCAGAGGTGAGGAAAGAGACGCCRTTGATGTTGGCCAGGACCTGGGCTTTGCGCTCCTGCACATTGACGGCTGCTTTGGAGATGGTCTTGTTGAAGTCCTTCCCAGAGCTGTTGGTCACGCTGATGTTGCTGGGGAAGCGGTGAATCTTGGGTGCAGGCTGTGCYGAGTGTCGGTGCCAGGGGAACTGGTCTCCGTTCCGAGAGGCTAAAGAAGTCAGTGTCCGCCACTCTCCAGGCCTGCCCTCCTTYGAAGGGGATGTGGGGGAGAGGGCTTCATTTCCTGCCAACTTCTCGGAGATTTTCTGAGCAATCACAAGCGGAGTAGGGACTGAGCGGGGTAGCTTTGGGTGCTCTGCTGGAGGAGAAGGGGAGGGCAGCTCCCTCCTAGGGTAGGCTGGGGCTGGGGTGCCAGGCAGGGAAGGTGGCAGAGGAAGGGCTTCGGGACCTGTGGGCTCTGGTGCTTGGGAATTCTCAGTGTCTTGTTTCCTGCCTTCGAGGACAGCAATGTGCTCCTTCCCAGGTCCAGTCCCTGAAAAGTGAGGGAGAAACCTCATAAGCTTCCACCTAATGTGAACATAAACACAGGCATTCCTGTTGCCCAAATCTGAGTCTCGAAGGGGCTCACCAACTTCCTCAGAGCCTCCTGTGGTGGAACTCCCGTCCTTGGCCCTGGACTGGTGACCACAYGCTGAGAATGTACAGGCTACGACAGTGGAAGAACCAGCCAGCCCGGAAAGCAGCCTGAAAAGCCTCTGAGGCCACCACCTTGAGGCAAGGGACAGGAGGCAAATGGCTGCCTTCTCAGGGGACTTCACAAACGGGACACGGAGGTTGGACAGTTGTGTGGCACACCAACCCCCCAAYAGGTCTTTCTAGAGGAAGCGCCCCTTTCTTCTGAGGCACAGAAATGCCTCCTGGTGACTCCAGGTGACACCTGGCTAGCCTGCCCCACAGACCACAGCACTTATCTGCATGGCCTGCGGCTACAAAACTGCGAGCTTCTCTTTTTATCTTTATCTTCAGAATCTCACACAAGACCCGCCATAGAAGAGGCACCTAAAATTGCCATGAAATATCATGTGAGAGAACTGGTGGGCGTGTGGAGCATATTTTCTAAAAGTGTTTTCTTTGGCACAATTATGTGAGCTGGTATTTTCAAGGGATCAGCAGGTTCATATTACTTTTARGAACTATCCTGCAAAACAGCAGTGTAATAAAATGTGAGATTCATATTGTCTCTTGCCTGAAGAGATGGCTGCAAACCAAGCTCTACTTTTATGGGGAATCTGTAACTGTGGCAGGTGAAACTCTGAGTAACACACATCCCTGCTTAAAAAAAAAAATGCACCCATTTCTAGAGGCTTGTGACGAGTAGCAGTATTTCCTAGTTACTGGGGCAGAAGTACTCCCCTCTTAGTTCCTCCCTGCCCACATTTATTTTCAATATCCTTTTCAATCCAGGGGGAAAAAAAAAAGAAAAGAAAAAGGAAGGCCTTTCTCTTTCTCTATGTCCCTTTCCCTCCAGTGCCATCAGAAGTCTCAACGGACAAAAGCACACCTCTCCTCTGGTGCCACTCGGAGTCAAGGAAAATGTACAAACTAGACGCTGACCTGGAGTCTACTCTGATCCTTTTCTGTCTTCCTGAGCCAGTTGAATTTTTCAGTTCAAATATTCCCACCTTGGAAAGTGTACGACAGAATGGAATAAAATCTTGCACTAAAAGATCAGTACCATTTATATTTTCTTTGTAAGACAGAATTGTTACCTGGAAGCTACTTCAATTTTCTTTCTTTTCATATGTGTGTGTGCATTTATGTGTGTACACATATACACACACACACACACACACAAACATAAATAAATAAATAAAATCTGTATATGCTCAACCGGTTTCATTTTTCATTCCAGTCCTTTTGGAATTTCCCAGGTCAGACACCTGACTACCAAGAGGYGGTTTCTCCCTATGGAAGCAGATGAGCTGCAGGAGCCGCTGTGTTGGCAAACACCGCTGGGATCTGGGAACCTAAACACCAGCAATCTGAACCAAAGGTCCAGGGACCTGTACTTCAYCCCTTACCTGCTCCCTGGGGCACCGCTGGAAGGCACTCCATGTCCCCAGCTGCAGGTCTTGGCTGCACTAAATCGATGACATCTTCAGGCTCAGAGTGACTGGAAGGGCTCTCCAGAGACTGCGGAGAATGGCAATGAATACCACTGTCACACAGGGCTGGYTCCTCAAAGTCGTCTTCCAGGGAATCGAGAGTCTCTTCAAAAAACAGGATGACATCCTTCTCCTCGTGTGTGAGGTGCTTCAGGCTCTCGTCATCCTGTGACAGATGTTGGGCATAGAAGAGAGAAACAATGGTGTCACTAAAGACAAAGCAACAAAGTGGGGTCAATAGTCCAGGGTGGAATTCACTACACGTTAGAAATTACCACTTGTGTTACCCACTGACCAACAGCACCTGGACACCCCTCACCATCTTAACCTGCACGGAAAAAAAAATATGGTAAAAAAGATGTAGAAAACAGAGGGTCTTCAACAAATGGTGCTGGGAGAACTGGAAATCGATATGCAGCAAACTGAAAATAAACCCCTCTCACCATGCACAAAACTCAGCTCAAAGCAGACCTAGGAAGTAGACCAGAGACCCTGTAACTAATAGAGGAAAAAGTAGGCCAAAATCTTCATCACTTTGGATTAGGCCCGACTTCCTTAACAAGACTCCGAAAATGCAAGAAATAAAATCAAGAATTAATAAATGGGATGGACTAAAAAGCTTCTTCTCAGCAAAAGACACGATCAATGAGGTGAAGAGAGAGCCTATATTTKGGGAGCAAATTTTTGCCACACACGTCAGATGGCACAATAATCTCCAGGATAAATAAAGAATTAAAAAAATTTAACACCAAAAGACAAAAACAATAAACAAATAACCCAATCAATAAATGGGGTAAGAAACTTAACAGGCACTTCTCAGATGAAGATATATATTTGATCAACAAATATATGTTCAATATATTTAGTAATTAGAGAAATGCAAATCAAAACTACTCTAAGATTTCATCTCACTCCAGTCAAACGGCAGCTATCAAGAATACAAACAACAATAAGTGTTGGTGAAGATGTGTGTGTGGGGGGAAGGCACACTCATACATTGCTGGTGGGACTGCAAATTGGTGCAACCACTCTGGAAAGCAGTATGGAGATTCCTTAGAAAACTTGGAATGGAACCACCATTTGACCCAGCTATGCCCTCCTCGGTATACAACCAAAGGACTTAAAATCAGCATATTAGAGTGACGCAGCCACATTTTAAGTTTAGAGTAGCTTAATTCACAACAGCTAAACTATGAAACCAATCTAGGTGCTCTTCAACAGATGAATGGATGAAGAAAATGTGGCATATATACACACTGGAATATTACTCAGCCATAAAGAAGAATGACTTTATGACTTTTGCTGGWAAGTGGAYGGAGCTGAAGATTTTCATGCTRAGTGAAATAAGCCAATCCCCCAAAACCAAAGGTCGAATGTTCTCTCTGATACACAGATRCTAACATTCAACAAGGCAGGGGGAGAGAATAGAAGTTCAGTGGATTAGGCAAAGAGGGATAAAGGGAAGGAGGCGGACTGGGACTAGGAAGGACAGTGGAATGAACTGGACATGACTTTCCTATGTTCATGTATGAATACACAGCCAATGAAATCCTACATCTGTACAACCACAAGAATGAGATCCTAATTAGAATAARTTACACTCCGTATATGTATAATATGTCAAAATACACTCTACTGTCATGTRTATCTAAGAAGGACAAATAAAAATTTAAAAAAAGAGAGAAAAGAAAATAGAGGGTCTTAGCCTGTGGGCTCTAGCCTCATGGTTCCAGGTCKATGCAATAAAGCAACCCTCCTTCAGCACCGGCTCGGGAAAGCTGTTTTCAACTGACCACTGTTCACTTTCTTGTACCTCCAGATTACTGTGGGTGCAGGGTGGGAGGCAAGGGGACTCACAATTAAATAGAGTAGACTGGACTCATATATACATAAAAATATCTCCTCTCCCTTCAGAAGCCCACTAAAACAATACAAGGATTTCTTTTTAAAAATAGGTGTAAAYCACAAAGACAAAAGTCAAAGGAAAAGAGAATAAAACAAAATAAAGGAGGCTAGAGAGCAGAAGGAAATGAATGAATGGGGGAAATGAATTAAGATGAACCAAGACGACAGACTATCAGAGTGGCTACCAGGAAAGCCAGTCACCAACCTGCTAAGCTCTGTGGTCCTGAGCTTGGCACTGAAGCCCCAGCCTTTTGGAAGTRTGGCAAAGGGGTCTGGAAAGCACCAAGCTGGCTGGAAATCCCCTCTCAGCAATGAGAATGGCCCAGCAGAAAACAGGGTGCAGTTATTAGAGAAGGCAAAAAAACAAACAAAAAAGCCCCTTTGAATTGGGGCCATCAAGCAGGGCTGATGGCTTACTGGAGATGGGGTGGGGGTAAATGGAGCTAAACTAATTCAGTGTAGACAGAAGACTGTAAGAGTGTTTTCTGGGGAATCTGAAGGTCCAAGAGCTCAAAAAGTTGACCCCAAGGGTTCCCYRAGGTAGCAGTTACAGGTGAAAACAACCATGGACAAGTCCCAGCCTAGAATTATTCATCAGTTTCTGAAGTCCTACTCTTGAATATRTCTGAAGAAAATCATTCATTTTCTTCAAAGATAAAACTAAAAGCAACTATGCAGTGATGAAAATTACAAAAAGGTCATCACCATCAATAGCCCATAAACAACATGAYGCTGAATCCATAAACACCACCATTTTTTAAAAAGTTGACCTGGGTGTGGTGGCACCCGCCTGTAAACCCAGGGATTCAGGAGACTGAGGCAGGAGGATCTCAAGTTCAAGGACAGCCTCAGCAATTTAGCAAGACCCTGTCTCAAAATAAAAAATACAAAGGACTAGGTGGTAGAGCGCTCCTGAGTTCAATCTCTGGTACCATGTAATAMATAAATAAAAATTTAAAAACTGAAGGACAAAGGTGCTTACAAATTTAAAATGTTAGCAAAATAATGAACTAAATAAAAGTTTAAAAGATGATTAGAAAAACTAGAAAATCATAAACATTAAAGAAAGAGGAGAGACATTAAAAAAAGGAAAGAAGGACAGAAAGAAAAAGAAAAAATTAGAGAAGAAGCCTGGGAGGGCCAATCTCTGAATACTGAGGGCTCCCAAAAGAGAAGCAGAGAAGGAATCATCAAAACACCCCTAAGCAGAAGCAYATGAATTTCCAAATCAAAGGGGCTGACCCAAAGAACAAAAATAAAGGAGATTCACTCSAACACACACCACTGAGAAATTTCAGTATGCTGAAATCCAAGAAAAGAAACTGAAAACTTTTTCACTCTTCTTCAGAGTGAAAAACCAGTTTCTCCACAAAGGYGAGCAATCGGAACGTGATGACCATGCTGCGGCGGGTATGTGCTTTGGTTAAGTACCCTCATTTTCCTCTGGCTATAGAGAGAATGAAAAGAGTGCTGGCCAGGGCTGGGTTGTAGCTTGGTGGTAGAGCACCTGCCTGGATTGTGCAGGGCCACAGAGCAGGTCAGWGGTGGCCAGGCGTGGGKGAAGGAACGGGGGGCTTGGGGGAGGCTGCTCATGGACATGAGATTTCTTTTTGAGGGATAAAATGTTCATGCCCTGGCACTGCAAAAATAAAACAATAAATAAAAGGGTACTGGCCTACAGTGGACCCTCCGTTTAGGAGACACACCAATTTTCCCCATAAGGTGGGACAAAATGAGTGTGGACTCTAAACCCACATCTAATCCAACCTCAAAGCCAGCAGTCCCCRCGTGAGGTTCCACTTGGAGGAGAAGCTGGGGAGGGTGCCCTCMGTGCACCTGTTTACGTCCTGTGTGCCACGGGGCCGGGCCAGCTCCCACACCCAGCCAGAGTCTTATGTGGCTTCGAGGGTCACATGACCACTGGTGGAGGGGCAAAGACCAGAAGTGGGCTCRCTCTCTACTTGCCTTTTGCTCTGCCAGCCCCTAACTTATTCCCTTTCCTAACCATGCACTGGTAAGTGTCAATAAAGGGCTCTGATACTATTCACGGCTTGTCCCTTGCTCCTAGAGTTCTGCAGTTCAGTCTCAACTGTGCTCTCCACTTTTCCTGCATGAGACTCCTCACACCTCAGCCCGGCTCAGTGAGTGCATCTCCAGCCCTAGGCCACCAGGATTCTGGTATCCTCCATCTGAGGTCTTTATGGAGAGRGGCCAGAGGCTTCTTTGTGGCCTTGAGCAAGGCCAAACATGCTGTGGGGCYGGTCTGTTGCTCAATACCCCAGACATGAAACCACCTTTCCAATGAACTCTGCTTGCACCTGGGACAGGGAAAAGGCAGAAACAGAGAAAAACCCCAGCCAAGGGTAAGGGAGCGGGGTGCTTCAGAGCCACAGAAAGGGCACGCTGGCCCAAGTCCAGAAGAGTTCCCTTTGCTCCTCCTGCTACATGGAGATGCTGGACACTGCCTCAGAYAAGGACGCTACAGAGAAAGACATGCATGGTCCCGGGGAAGAGGATGAGCATCATGAGATATAAATCCTTGAGCCAGAGAGCAGGTTAGTGGTGGCCATGGGTGGGGGAGGCTGCTCAAGGACATGAGATTTCTTTTGGGGAGAWAAAAATGTTTTAAAATCCACTATAGTGATGACTAAATAACTCTGCAAATATGCAAAAGCCACTGAARTAGTCAACTTTATTTTTAATTTTGATTGATACACAAAATCACAAAATTCTGCATGCCATGTGATGTTTCCATACATGTAACCTACTGTAATGCACAAATCAGGTCAAACATACTTGTTTCTTCAAATGTTTCTTTCTTTATGGGGAAAGCTTTCCAAACCCTTTCTTCTAGCTTTCTGAAATGTATAATACATTGCCATTGCCTACAGCCACCCTACTGTGCGACAGCACCCAGAACTTGCTCCTCTCTGACTGTAACTAAGCGCCCACTCATCACCCTTCCCCCGTTCCTCTCCCATCCCTCCACTGTCCCCGGCCTCTGGCACCTCCTCCAACTGTCAGCCTCTGTAAGATGGACTTTTTTAGAGTCTACAGATGAGTGAGATGATGTGGTCTTTGTCTTTCCATGTCTGGCTTATTTCACTTAATTATCTCCAGCAGTTCCACCCCTGTGGGTCACAGAAATGATGGAGCCCATTCTTCTTTGTGGCTGAATGGCATCCATCGTGTGTATGTACTGCCGATTCCTTCATACATTCAGAGGCTGAAGGACACTCAGGTTGTTTCCATTTCTTAGCTCTGGTGAATAGTGCTTCAATAAGTACGGAGTGCAGAAGTCGCCCTGACAGACTGATTTCATTTCCTTTGGATACACACCCAGGGGAGGATCACTGGATCACATGCTAGTTCTATTTTTAACTTTTTGAGGAAACCCCATGCAGTTTTCCATAATGGCTATACTAACTGACATTCCCATCCATGTGTGGAAGGGTCCCCTTTCCTCCACACCCTCACCAGCACTGTCATCTTGGGTCTTTTTGGTAAAAGCCATTCTCACCTGGATAAGGTGATACTTCATTGTGGTTTTGATCTGCATGATGGTTAGTGATGTTGAGCATTTTTTCATACRACTCTTGGCCACTATTTTTCTTCGAGAAATGTCTATTTAAGTCTATTACCCCCCGGTTTAGTCAAGTTATTTAATTTTTTTACTTTTGAGTTTTTGGAGTTCTTTATGTATTCTAGATTTCAACCCCTTGTCAGGTATATAATTTGCAAATATTTTCTACCATTCTGTAAATTATATTTTCACTCTGTTGATTGATCGTTTGCTGTGCAGAAGAGCTTTAGTTTGATGTAATCTCATTTGTCTAGTTTTGCTTTTGCTTCCTTTACTTTGGAGGATGTTGTCTAAAAAAAAACTCCTGTCCATTCTAGTGTCCTAAAGGACTTCCCCCTGCTTTGATTCAGTAGTTTTTATAATTTCAGATGTTACATTTAAGTCTTTGATTTTTGTAACTGGCAAGAAATAGGGGTCCAGTTTCATTCCTCGGCATGTAGAAATGCAATTTTTGGAGCACCATTTATTGAAGTCTGTCCCTTTTTCAATGTGTATTTTTAGCACATTTGTTGAAAAGCAGTTGACTCCAAGTGTGTGTTCACTCTGGGCTTTCTATTCTGTTCCACTGGTCCCTGTGTTGTATTTTTTAATGCCAACACCATGCTGTTTTGATTACTGCAGCTCTGTAGTTAAGTCAGGCAGTGTAATGCCTCCTACTTTGTTCTTTTTTCTATTTTCAAGATAGCTTTGTCTATTCAGGTTTTTTAATAGTTCCGTATGAATTTTGGGGTTAGTTTTTCTAGTTCTGTGAAGAATGTCATTTGGGACTTTGATAAGGACTATAGTGAATCTGTAGATTTCTTTGGATAGTATGGACATTGGGATGCATGGGAATGTTCTAAAATTGACTGTGGTGATGGTTACACAATTCTGGAAACTTGCTAGAAACCGCTGAAGGTAGACTTTAAGTGGGGAACTTTTTGGCATATGAATTATACTCAAATAAGAAAAACAAAACAAAACAAGGAGTGGACCAGTGGCCCCACATGGAGGACAGAAAGCTGGAACCCACGGTGGCTTCCCATGTGGGTGCGGTGCTTTTGGAAGTGGTACCTGCTAAATTAGTTCCCAAAGAACTAAGCAGGTAGGGGATAAGGAAAAACAAAAATGGCAGTGTTCTTAAGTGAGTTGGAAAAAAACATAAGTTTGTCACTATTAATTTGGAAGGTAGTGGCTGACAGCAGAAATTTTTAAAATCTTTCTACAAATGGTATTTGTAACATACCAATTTGGGCTGAGGAGTAAAAGAAAGCCCTTTAAGGCTAAAAATCTCCAGATGTTAAAAGAACTATCGAGAAAACTACACCTCACCTATTCTTTCCCACCATGACCTGAGGTGACGGCCATAGGTCTGCGAGGGAAACACTGCTTCAAGAATGTGGGAAACATATTGTTCCTTAATATTTACATTGTGGTTTTGAAGAAATAATTTATCTCTCTTCCTCTCTCTCTTATTTATTTATTTTTGGTACTGGGGATTGAACTCAGGGATGCTCAACCACTGAGCCACATCCCCAGCCCTATTCTGTATTTTATTTAGAGACAAGGTCTCACTGAGTTGCTTAGCACCTTGCTTTTGCTGAGGCTGGCTTTGAACTTGCAATCCTCCTGCCTCAGCCTCCTGAGCCGATGGGATTACAGGTGTGAGCCATCACTTCAAACATTCTCCTCATAGATACAAAAATTCTCTCTGACATTTGAGCAATACTGTACTGAGTTAATAATGTAGTTGACAAGAGAACCCCCAAAACTGTAATGGAATAAAGACAAGGAGAAAGAAACACAACCAAGCCTCTTATGAGCTTTAAATGCTTCTGCTTACTGTGGCAACCTCAAAAGAAAGACCATAAGTGCACATGGCTTTCCTCGGAGTTTCAGAATGAGGGCTTAATTATGGTTATTTGAAACTAGACACTATTGTAACTTTTCACTATGGTTAACTTGAACCTATACTTCTGATAGGAAAGAGACATAACAAACCAGCAAGGAATGAGATGGGTACGGTGTTGATTACAAAACTACAGTAGAAGGGTTCAAAGGACTACATTTAAGCTCCCTTTAACATCTTTAAACTGGTAACGCAAACACTAATCTCCATTCCTCATCTGTTTTTTTTTCCTTTGGTACTGGGGACTGAACCCAGGRGCACTTAACCACTGGGCCAYATTCCCAGCCCTTTTGAGTACTTATTTAGAAACAGGGTTTTATGAGTTGCTTAGGGTCTCGCTTTTGCTGAGCCTGACTTTACTCGTGATCCTCCTGCCTCAGCTTCCCAAGCTGCTGGGATTACAGGTGTGTGCCACTGTGCCTGGCTTCTCATCTGCCTCTTGATCTGTGTCTCTTATGAAGGAATCTTGATTAAGATGGAAATACCTCACGTGTGTGGCATTACAGGTGCTCTAAGATGCTACATAAGCTGTGTCTTTCTATCTATGCTAGCCTGACACGTCTGTCTTGCCCCTATATTAAGAAATACTGAAAAGGTTAAAACCCAGTGTTATTCAGATATTTTTTTGTTGTTGATTGTTTTCTGCTTTGTTGGTGCTGGAGATGGAACCCAGGGGTGCACTACCACTGAGATATACCCCCAGCCCCTTTTTAATATTGAAACAGRGTCTTRCTAAGATTCCCAGGCTGACCTTCACTTGCGATCCTCCTGCCTCAGCCTCCCAAGCAGCTGGGATTACAGGCTTGTGCCTCTACACCCTGCTAAGTGAACTGTTTTTATCCTGTGAGTTGCTTCTCTTCTTTCCGCCATCTGATGTCAAAGGCAGGGGTGTTCCAGCCTGGGTTCCTATTGCCTTTACGTTTCTTTCTAGTGCTCAGTTGTTCTAAGTTATCGGCTATGGATGGAAATTTGCTCCACTTTCTTGGGTAATGTTCTATATTTGTGCAAAACTTAAAATGATTAAAAATAAAAGGCCATTTCACAAAGAACTATTCCAAAACATCAAGCATGTTAACCCCAAGGATTTTCTAAGATATTCTAAAGGGGAAAAGGGTTGAGGCAGAATTAACCAACCAAAGCACATAAAAACACTGAAGAAAAGCCCACTCACCAAAGTGAAACTTCTGGACCGCGAACTGCTGCTTCGACTCTCCAGACTCCCACCTCTGCTCAAGTCACTGAGCCTGCAGCTGGGTGACATGTCGGAGTCCATCTCCGAGAAGTCTGATTTCTGATGGTTTATAGGCATCCCCACAGAAGCCCAGTTCCCGGCTTGATCACAGGAAGTGCGGAAGGAGCCAGTATCCCATTCCGAGGCAGAGGGTTACTTCTAGAGAAATCAGAGCGACACGGTTAGTGAGCCTAGAGAGTAAAATGCCTTATCCCTCAAAAATGAAAGGCTGGCATGTGTCAGATTCACCTGCATTCACACACTCAACCATGAGGGTAAAGGAAATCAGGAAGCCCCAAGCCTACTGGTGTGGGGATGCTGGTTTCTATTTCTCCTTTTTAATCATGGCCCATTGTGAAGATGTGAGAATGATTTTTAAGACACTAGGTATGGTGGCATATGTCTGTAAGTAACCCCGGTGACTTGGGAGGCTGAGACAGGATTGTAAGTTCAAAGCTATCCTCAGCAACTCTGTGAGACCTTGTCTCAAAATAAAGAACAGAAATGGCTGGGAATGGAGCTCAGTGGCAAAGAGTCCCTGGGTTCAATCCCTAGAACCATATTAAAAAAACCTCAAAGAATGGATGTACTAAAAATGACTATGGTGCTCATACTCTTCACATTCAGCATTCAGCACTGCCCTGCTTTTGTTGCCTTAGGCACCACAAAATGGGCTCCTTCTCCAACTCATTGGAATTCAGGGTTAAGCTGAGCTGAAGCAAGTTGTTACCAACTCACCAGGCATGGTGGTGCACCTGTAATCCCAGCAGCTCAGGAGGCTGAGGCAGGAGGATCTCGAGTTCAAAGCCAGCCTCAGCAATGGAGCTAAACAACTCAGTGAGACCCTGTCTCTAAATAAAATACAAAATAGGGCTGGGGATGTGGCTCTGAGTTCAATCCCAGGTACCTTCCCCACAGCAAAAAAAAATAGTTACCAGCTGATGGCTGCCTGCATCTGCAAGATCAAAGGCTCCTGGGAAGCCTGGGCTAATGCAACCTTACATAAAAAGTTAAGTATCCTAAGTTATTATTACCAGGAAGTCCATGTCTACATTACTTCCAGGAACAGAGACCTCCAAGGATCCCCTGAAGCTCCTTGGTTTCATACTATCACCCTTTAAACAGGAAATTCAACTCAGTCCCCGAACATTTGAGTTCAACAAAACATTCTAGAAGACAAAAGAAGACTAACTGGAATAAGTCCCCTGATGATTAATATTTAACAGACATATGATCATTTGTGGAGGAAATCCAATCAGTATTGAACATCTTTATGGAGACCTTATCATTTGAGATGTCAAAAATTACAGTGAAAACCTTTTTAGARAAATCCTGCAGACATCTCTTAAAAACAGATAAAAAAAAAAAATCCTCAGCCCACTTCTCTTTTCTTTTCAGATGAATCAGTACAGGTCAAAGGGCAATTTTAAGAGGAAGGCTAGGAAACCAGAAGATTCTGAGCACTTGTATTTTTTGTAAGTTATCATTGTTTCAGATAGTCAACAACAACAAAAAGACTTAAAATGTTAAAACTTTAAAAGTTTGTTCCATAAAATGAAAAATTTAAACAATACACAAAGTTTATATAAATGTATTAATAGTAATATACAACCCGTAAATTCAGATGTCCATGTGAAGGTCTCTGGTGTCTTACAAATGCTTGACATGAGTCTGGTACACACACATACACACATACCACACCAGAGAGCTGGCCACAACTGCTCGGGCCGAGGCAGATGCAGCCCCATCCCTGGGCCCGGGAGGAGCAGGCAAAGGTGGGACAGGCTATGCAGAGAAGTCAGGCCAATTCTTAGGTCCTTCCTGATCTGCAGATTCCCACCCACTGACTCAGCTTGAACTCAGTCCTGAGTGGAGTGAATCACTCTTCCAAGGATAGGGCCGTGGGGCACAAAGCCTTCCCATACATCCCAGAGAGGAGGTGGGAAGGGAAATGCTGATTCACAGCTCGGGGTGTGTGTTTCTGGTGGGGGGTGCCCCAGGATGTGGGAAGGTTCTGGACTTGTGCCTGGCTCAGGTCGGGGCGGTGAGAGCAGCACCTGGAAGCCACCCCAGCAGGGCCAGAGGGTTCTGCCTCTCACACCCTCCAGAGCACACCTTTTGGGAACACATCTCTTTCATGTGTTGCTGTGGTTTAAAAAAAAATTTTTTTTTTTAGTTGCATATGGACACAATGCCTTTATTTATTTTTATGTGGTGCAGAGGATCGAACCCAGTGTCTTACACATGCTAGGCAAGCGCTCTACCACTGAGCTACAACCCCAGCCCCTATTGCTGTGATTTTGAAAGCTATAAAACTCTAATATTTAGGCTGCACAAAAAAAATGAGGACGCCAGCCAGGATCTTCCAGAAGGCGGGCTGTGAAACCTTGCTCTCATTTCCTTCCTACCCTGGAGAGGCCAGTCTTCTGTGATCTTCCGAGGAAATCAAGAACTAGTGGCTCCCTGATTCTGGTTCTGAAAATCCAGAACTCCATGGGAGGCCCACTGTTGAGGGCAGAGTTGAGAGTAAGCAGCCTGCTCTACCTCGCCCTGGACACGAGCACACGGAGACTGGGACATGTGAGGAGGAGCAGGCGTAAGGGGTGACAGTAAAGGACCACAGCTGAAGGGTCCATGTGGGTCCTGACCACTTTAAAATGCCCACTCTCCTTCCAATCATGGGTTCAGTCTTTGGGTGTGCCAAACAATGCACACTATAAAAAGTGACCCTGGGGTCTGATTGACAGCCCCATGGGTGAAGAAACCGATTCCACGAAAAGGGCAGTGGGCTAAGAAATCATGACAAGCCTAATACTGTGAGAGAGAAATACACACCCTGCGTGCTCATTCCTTTTATTCTGTTTCCTGTGTTTATTTCTTATTATTTACTAAATTGCCCAGGCTGTCCTTGAACTCACAGTCCCCCGCCTCACGCACCCAAGGTGCTGGTGTTACAGGAGCTTGCCACTGTGCCTGGCTTCTGGAAGCATCCTTTTTTCTATAGTCTAGTTTATCATTTGAGCAAACAGAATAAGGATGAAGTCACAGCAGGTCRCAGTCCTGGCGGATCTGTGTCTCCTGGGCATGACTGGTCGGGAGGACAGCAGTCAGCTAAGGAGCTCCTGGGAAATCTGGCAGATGAGGGAAGCCTTGAGCAGGAGCTCAGGACAGAAAGGCCACTCCTGTTCTTCATCTTCCCAGACAGTCCAGAAAGACCAGGAACGACCTAGCTGGTACGCACGAAGGCCTCCCCTCWCCACCACCCTACTCCATCTCAATTCCAGAGCCACAGCCAGGACACAGAGCAGCCCAAGTTATTCCCTCACTCACCCGAAAGCTCTGGTTCTGCGGAGTCCCAAAGCTGATCTGTGCCAGTCAAAGCCCTATCCACAGGCACAGGGGCTGACCCCTCCTCCTTCTTGCCTCTCACAACCAGCTGCCAGCACCCAAGTTAGCAGGACACCCCTTTAGCAGGACAGTGTTATCACTTCCTTTCTGGTCCCACTCCCTAGAGCAGGGCCGCTGGACACGCCTACACTGTTGCCAAAGCSATCCGACTGCTCTCCTTGCCTTCTTATTCTTCTTTACACTTTGGCTGTATTTTTCTGATGGTTTAAACGTAACATCAATGTGGCTGGGCGTAATAGTGCACGCCTGTAATCCCAGGGACCCTCTAGGTTGAGATAGCAGGATAGCAGGTTCTAGACCAGCCACGGCAACTTAGCAAGACTTTTTCTCAAAATAAAAAAATAAAAATAAAAAGGGCTGGGGATGTAGCTCCGTGGTAAAGCATCCCTGGGTTAAGCACTCAGTACCAAACCAAACAACAACAACACCACCACCACTGTGACACCATCTTGTACCACCACTCTCCTAAGCAACCAAATTTAACCTATTGCTAATTGGTTTCAGAATCAAAGTTTCATCCTTTGGTTGATCAATACTTGCTTCAATCTGAGCCTTATCTTCCTTTCTAACCTAGGCATGTTCTTGAATTGACCCTTTTTTTCCCTACACCAAGCAGATTCTAGGCACTAGAGAGAGATGAGTAAGAGCCGTCCCCCCACAGGAGGACTCCATCTATACCTGGCTTCTAAATCAGGCMATGAGTCAGAAATGCTGTAGGACTCGGACCCAGACCTACGGAAAGCATTTCTGGTGGCAAGGCTTGGGCATGTAGTTTTTTAAAAAAGCTTCACAAGTGACTCTGTTGTATCACATCAACTCTAATAGAAGACAGATGTGTAGTCAAGTTCAGTGCCATGACAGGGRACACGGGGTGAGACAAAGGAGCACCAACTCTTCCTGGAAGGGACATAGAACAAAAGGGACACTGAAAGCCAAACCCTGAAAGCTGGGTGTGATCTTAGGAGACTGCTAGTTAAATTCAGATGGGAATTCCAAATAGAGAAAGAGAACCATCGAGAGCGTACAAAGATGCATGCCTTCTAAATAATGGTGAGTGGCTGGATCACAACCTAGGTGAAACAGGAGGTGCAAAACAAGCTGGAAAAGGTACAGAGATATGTAAATGGAGGGACGTGGAGAACTGGACCAAAGCACAGAGCCTCTGAAGTGTGAACTTGACCCACAGATGACAGCCAGCCACGGAAGGCTTACACCCACTGGAGTGATAGGACCAGGTTCTGGTTTAGAAAGATAACTTTGGCAATAGTTTGAAAAGTAGGTAGAATCAGGGGAAGAATTTAAAAGTAATTAGGATAACTGAGTCCCACTTACTGTTAAAAAAAAAAAAGAATGAGGCAGCTCAACGATCACCATGACATTATTTTTGAGAAAAATACAAGGGAGAGCAAAGTTTAATGTACTTGCACTTTTACATGGAAATAAACAAGAAAAAAATGTACATGCTTTTACATGCAGACAATCTCTCTGGAAGGACATGACAGGGAAAATTGTAAGTGGCTGTCCCTAAGGAGGGCAGAATAGTGACAGGAGACCAGGATGGAAATCTAGTACCACATATAAAACACTATGCTTTATACAAAATGAGGAATTTTACAATAAGAATGTATATTTTGGGGGCTGGGGGAAAGCACTTGCCTAGCAAGTGTGAGGCACTGGGTTCGATTCTCAACACCACATATAAATAAATGAACAAAATAAAGGTCCACCAACATCTAAAAATAATTTTTAAA